TGGCTGGATAGCTCAGGGGTTTAGGTATCTGGCTGCGAAGCCAGAAGCTGGGAGTTCAATTCCCAACTGTGTATCCTGTGAGTAGAGCCAGCCTGTGTAGGCATGGGCAAGGGCACAGTCCCAGGGTGCCCCAGAAGAAGGGAATGGAAAACCACTTTTGAGTATTCTCTACCTGGAAAACCCTGGAAAGGGTTGCCACAAGTCACAACTGACAAACAAGACAGCATATAAAAACAACAACAACTAAATGGCACCTTTGCTGGCTGCACCTAAAATGACACATGTGGAGGCTCAAAGCAGTTTTTCAACCATTATATTATACCTTGTTTCTTGTATGATGGTGGCATTTCTAATTCAGCTATGAATGAGAGATTTTCCACAGTCCACTTAAAGATGCTCAGCTCTTACAGAAACACGGGGAAAGGTCCCTACCTCTTTTAACCAGGTCTTCACATCTGTAGACCTTACTCTCTCCAGAACTTCTTAACTGGGCAACCAAGCATCAAACCTGGATGACTTCTTATGTACAAATTTGCACTTGCCATGGATTCCAATATTTGGCAAAACAATATGATTTTTTTCATAAAGCATATGAACCATCTGGGATCTAGACAAATGCCAAACTGTTACCAAGATCTAGAAATCTGTATTTAGTGTTCTCTGTGCTGTTTAAAATATTAAGAATCCTAGGTTTCCACTCAGGGTAACTGTATGTCTAGACCTCATGGTGGTAAATTCAAAAATGAAAATGTGACTGTGACAGGAATTATGTAGAGATTCCAAGGGTAATTTTAAAAAACATGCCACAGCATCTACTCTTTATCACAGCAGAAGCAAGGGGAAGCCTATATGTTATGTTGTGCTTTATGTAAACCTATGTCTTGTGGTTATTGTTGGGCAAACACTAGTGTTTAACTTTCACACAAGGCGGAAGAAAGTGAAAACTCAGTTACAGCTGGTGGTGCTTTCAGTAGGAACAGAGAAAAATCATAACTTCCTGTCCTCCAAAACCACAGCAATGTTGTGCTTTCTTCCTGCAAGAGCTACACACAATGGTTTTATTGCTCATTGTAATTCAGATACCCCACATATTAGTGTGATATCTTTGTTGGGCAAACTGCAAGGGGACAGAAGTGTGTAAGAAGCTTTTGACCTCAAGAACTTTTCATGAGGCACCAAAGTCAGGAGGATGGCTCACTGACATCAAAGCCTTGGTATCTGCATGGTCTCTGTCCTGAATTAAAATGCGGAGCTTGAAAACATTCAAATGAGACTCTAGGAAATGATGTGTTGATTTTATGTTGCACATCCTAGAGTGACACCTATGAATGCTGGGGAGATCTCTGGGGATGTTAAAAGTTTAAACACATTTCTGTGTCCTTTTAGTTGGTCTAAAAGAGCACAGAAATGTGCATTTTGGATTTGTTCCTCTGATTACCTTGCTTTTATTCTATATTCCAATCATAGATGAATTTCTATACAGAAGTTATTTCAGCACACGATCTGCTGAAAACTATGTAAATAGTTGCTTAAATGGTGTGCAGGTATATATATTTCATTCACAATTATTCTATAGAAAAAAATTGTAATACATGAAGTAATTTTGAGTCATTGGCAATGGATAAATATTTGGCAAAAAGTCACCACTTTTCAAAAGAGTTTGTCCAATTTAAGCATAAAACATGACACAGTGTAATACAACATACAAGCAAGAGGTGAATCAGAGATCCTGAAAAACAAGATGTTTTACTATATACTGTGTTGTGCATTCCCCCTTGAAAAAGCTTTTCCTTATTATATGCATTAGTTTAGTATAATTAAAGGGCTGGCAAGGTGTTTATGGAGCCGAGTCTTATATTCTTAGTTCTGTCTCTTCTCATAAGAATAAGGTTATAGTCTTCTAGTTAAAACTGAAATATTTCTTGTGTTGGTGGGTCAGTCTAACTTTATTTTTTATGTTTGCAGATGAAATTCCAGCAGTACTTTACTTGACTGAATATTTAAACATCCACTAAAATCAGTACATTTGAACATGGTTTCATGTTAATCTCCACTAATTAAAAAGTATTTATTTTCATAGAACTGTAATTTGGTTTTATTTAATTTAAGATTATACATTCAGAATAATATCTGGATTTGTACAAGGAATGAATAATATATCTTCATTCTGGTTTTGCAGAATGTTAGAGATTCTTGTCAGCTAAAAGACACAAATTCCATGTTGTTCTCTGGAAAAAAAATAGATTTTTTTATTGATTTAACTAAACAACTATTCAGTATAATTTGCTGAATGAAATTAAATTTAAATTAACTAAGCTATAAATTTAAGTCAGATTCTGAACTTTTTGGAAAAACTTTAAATCCACATTCCATTGAAGGTGAATCCTTTTATTTTATTGTCTGTTGCATATAGTTTATTGTTTATTTCATTCAATTTATTTCAAAGTGCAATTCAATTAAAAAAACCTTCGAGAATACAGTCAATTAAAAAAATCTCTTTAAAGTATACGTTTGGGTTCTTTATCCATTTGGTTGTTGAAAGTTACTTGGTGTTTTATTTTTTTTAACTGACACTGAAGTTGCATTATTTAAAACGAATTACTGCGACATAGGGGATATATTCGAATAGCCTTTACAGTATATCACGTCAGCTTTGCTATCTCGTAACTGAACATTTATTCCGGCATGTACCTACAAGAAATACTGGCAAAGAACCTCAAAGGATATACACTTCGCATATTGAAAAATGCAGATTTCCGTTGCTCCCATCATTAATAAATTGCCAGTCTCGGATAACCCCTCACTCTGTGGTGCATAATTTCAACACTCAATGTGAGCGAATCATTTTAATCTCTCAAAGGCGGCGATCTTGTCCAGTTCGAATAATGTACTGCTTTGATGCTTAATCCAAATATTGTACAGGTCGAGAGTTTCAGAATTAGGAAGCTGCGAAGTTGGTATAATAAACCAAAACCCATCCGAAACACCTTTGTTTGAGAAACCAGCGTATCTGCCGGCCCTGCCGTTTGTCCGAACAAGAGTTTGTCAGACACTCTGTGGGTTGTTGTTGTTGTTGGTGGTGGTTTTAAAGGAAGTGGGGGAAAGAAAGGTGTAAAATCCGAATCTGAGTGATCTTCGAAGGCACCGGAATTATTTTATGGATGAGTTGGAGGGAACCGAACCCCCTTGCTCTCTTCCTCTGGTCCCACCGCTGTCTGTGAATATTCGACAAGGAAGCGCACCGAGTCACACCCTCCCCGCAGCCCTTTAACTCTTGCTGCTCCCCCGCCCGGACTTCCCTCCCCTGCTCTTCTGCCACCGCCGCCGCCACCGCCCGCCCTCCGGGCTGCCCGGGGCCCTTCACCCCACAGGGCCGGCCGCCCTCCGGCTGTTGCCTAGCCCTCCAAGTTGCCAGCGGCGCCCCTCCGCCTTGCGCGCCCCCCCAACCCGGAGGGGAGTCCCCTTGCCTCCCCACACCCACCTGCCGTCTCCATCGAGGTGCCGCAGAGCCTCTCCTCTCGTCCTCCCGCTTCTCCAGGAAGGCACCGACCGGGCGACCCTCCTCGGGGGCGACACCCCGTTAGCCGTCCACCCCTCCGGTCACCCGATCCGCCTGCCCGAGTTGTCCCGGCGCCCGCGCTCTGCCTCTGCCCGCGCGCCCCAGGCCG